GTAGTTATATGTTTTTTTTTACACTCTGATCATTATGGATATAGATTTGTGACTATTAAATTTTTTTACACTGTTATTGATAGGCATTTTTGTATAGCAATTTATATATATATATATATATATATATATATATATATATATTATTACAGGTACAGGTACATATATAGCGCCGTCAATTCACGCAGCACTTTACATACATATATTGTACATTCATCCCTAATGAATTAGTCCCTAACCCTCAAGAAGCATATAATCTAAGGTCTAAGGTATATATATATATATATATATATATATATATATATATATATAATTTAATTTTTTTTAGTTAGAGATCATAAGAGCACAATAATTTTCACTAATAACACTGTATACACCTTTAATTATTGACATTTTAAAAGCAGCAGTAGGACTGTACTGCGACTAGACCTATACTTTAAAAAAGAGTTCAACACATTTATAAAGAATATAAATGTGCTTTAAAAATTCACATTGTGCTCTGCTGGCTTCAGGAGTCCAAATACAGTAACAAAAATAAAACTAAATTCAGGTTCCCAATAAAATAAGTTAGGAGGACAGCAATTTCACATGACATGTAAAAGTCACATGACTGGCTCTAATGCAATCATGATTTTCTCTCTGCTGCATTAAGCAAAAAGAACTCCATGAATTAACACAGACTCAATACTGTGTGTACAAAATGCAGGCCCTGTTATTGAGAAATAATGCAAAACATGTATAACAGAAAGCTTAAAACTATATCACATCTCTGCTATAAATCAGCCCCTATGCTTCAGCCTTCACTCAGTTGTGTTCTGTACTGTGTACTGGGGTCACTAATGTTAAGACCTATCTATATCTCATAGATTTATTTCAGACAAAACCCAGGAGGTGAATGTGAGAAGTAGCCTCGCCCATGCTCTCACACATGAGTGATTAATGTGAACAGGATCAGCATCCAGAGAAGCAGGGAAATATTTTGTAGGAAGTAGATGTTGCTTCATGTTGTAGAGAAAACTAGGGAAAATGAGGGCCACAAGCCAGAGGGGTTGATTTAATAAAGACAAATAGGTAAATCACTTTTGCAAGGGAAATTGCACTTTGCATGGCAAGTTTCTGCACAGATTAGTGAGTGAGGTGAAACTTTTGACTTTCACCATCCAATCACATAAAAAAAAATGTTTTTCATTTCCTTGCAAGGGGTTGGGTAATCTTTGCAAAGTGAAGCTTTGCTGCATTCACTAAGCACTGGAGCAAATTCCCTTTGCAAAGTGCAACTTTCCTTGCAAAGTGGACAGCCTATTTGCCTTCAGTAAATCAACCACAAGAATGTACAGGTCTGCCTTTAGTCTGCCTTCAGTCTAACAAGTATCAGCCTGTTGACCAACTGATTGGAGCTGTGAGATGCGTTGAGATTAGATTAGATTCAACGTTATTGTCATGGTGCAAAGTACATGTACAGAGCCAATGAAATGCAGTTAGCATCCAGCCAGAAGTGCATAAATGGCCCAGTTGCTATAAATAACAAAAAAATCGGGGTATGGGATATACAGTAATACCATAATGGGTACAATGAGTAGTGCATTAATGGATGAAATATTCAGTAATGCAATGGTGAATAAAATATACAGTAATGCAATATTGTCTAATGATTAGCTGTTCAATGCTTTAACAACCGCAGGGAAAAAAAACTATTTTTCAGTCTATTTGTATAGGCTCTGAGAGACCTGTATCGTTTGCTCGATGGAAGGAGTATGAACAGTCCATGGTTAGGGTGAGAGGCATCATTAATAATACCCCTCGCCTTTTGCACACAGTATTTTTTGTAAATGTCCTCCAAGGTGGAAAGCTGAACACCAATAATTCATTGGGCGGTTTTCACCACCCTCTGAAGGGTGAGATGTGACATATATGCTGAGTGTTTTGAGGTGCATAGCGGGGTGGGCTCAATGTACTGGGGTGAATGATAATGTGTACTCTCCATACTCTTCTGTGCGCAACATACTCTAGACAGCTCCATTCTGTATAATGTGCAGTGCATTACATACCCAACACCATGAAGGCTGTACTTCATGTTCTGTAATGCTTGCTGCTAATCATGACAACATTGTTATATTATTGACAGACTTTTTTTGCAGCAGTTTCAAATGACACCCTATTAAAGCAATAGACATACTTTTTCAATAACATCAAAATCACTAAAATTGCAGATATAAAACCATATACAGCAATAAAATGACATAAGTATGAAGTTATTTTAAAATAATGAAAATGAAACTGTTTGGCACATGGGAAGCATGTATGTATTTTTACTCAAATTCTTTGCTGACCACACTATCTATGTAATATATCACGCAAGCCCACATGTAACAACTACGTTCTCATCGACTTGACTGTAAACATGTTTAACTAACCATCCAGACAACACATAAAGATCATAAGGGTCATTGCTATGCATTTATCACACATAATTATAACCAAAAATGATCCGCTTGGTTCCAGTACTTAACTTTACACCTTAGACTGTATAGAAAAATGTGTAGTGACATGCTTATACGAATGTATCCTTTCCTGCCAGAAACCATTTGCCAGTTCTCTTAAACTTGCTACATCGTCCTCTACTGTGCAGGAGCAATTGTACTAGCACAGACTTTTATGGAGTCCACCTTTCAGCTGTTCTTCATAAACCGGAAGAAATCTGTATTGACACAGCAGGCTAAACAGTTTGGCGTTTTCAAATCAAAGATGACAAGTCTAAACCGGATGCCAAAAGCATGTTTCATTTTGAATAGAAACTGTTGTGAAAGATCACTAGACCATCAATTTTTAATGCTGCATAGTGTAAAGGAAAAGAAAGTTCAGCTCACGTCCACTTCCTACTAAATAGGTCAACTTATGGGAAAAGCAATTATTATTATCGCTATAGGTGAAATGTAGGTATTCACAAAACATGAAAAAGGGGACCAAGAACCCGGCATTATTTATTTACTTGCTAAATGGTATTTTCTCAAAGAGCCTGTCCAGACATAATTATGACTTTTTTTTATAAGCAATCATCTAAAGGAAATTATTATTACTGCTATTATTACTGGAGACTTTTATGTCTCCGGTGTAATAATTCATAGGCAAAGCATAACCAAATAAATAGCCACCGTGAAATATAAAACACTGTTAGAATAACCACATGTTTAAAATACCACCAGCGAGTTAATTGTATTTTATATCCACTTTATATAACATATAGCATATTCTATAAAATAGTAGGACATTTTAGTTAGAAAGTGGTTAGCACTTTTGACTGGCAGTAATAGGGTCGCTGGTTCGAATCCCAGCCATGGCTCCACCTGCTTGGAGTTTGCATGTTCTCCCTGTGCCTGTATGGGTTTCCTCCGGGTACTCCGGTTTCCTCCCACACTCCAAAGACATGCTAGTAGGTTTATTGGATCCTGTCTAAATTGTCTCTAGTGTGTATGTATGAATGTAGGTTAGGGACATAAGATTATACACCCCTTGAGGGTTAGGGACTGATGTGAATGTACAATATATATATATATATGTAAAGCGCTGCGTAAATTGACGGCGCTATATAAGTACCTGAAATAAATAAATAAGAAGAAGAATCCCAGGTACATACAAAATCAGACACATTGGGGTTGACTTACTAAAACTGTAGAGTGCAAAATCTGGTGCAGCTGTGCATGGTAGCCAATCAGCTTCTAGTTTCAGCTTGTTCAATTAAGCTTTAAAAAAAAAAAACCTGGTATATTATTATTATTATTATTATTATTATAATACAGGGTTTATATAGTGTCAACAGTTTGCTCAGAGCTTAACAATATAAAAGGGAGACAATACAGCAACGATACAGTTCAATACAAGAGGGTTAGGAGGGCCCTGCATTTTGGAGTTTACAATGTAAGAGGGAGGGGCTGGTGATACAAAAGGTTATAGTTGTGGGGGATGAACTGATAGGAGAAATAGAGGATTCGGTTACTAGCTGAAGGCAGAAAAGGCTTCCCTGAAGAGATAGGTTTTTAGAGATTGCCTAAAAGTGGGCAGAGTAGGCGATAGTCAGATAGATTGGGGTAGAGAGTTTCAGAAGTTGGGTGAGGCTCTGGAGAAGTTCTGGAGATGAACATGGGAGGAGGAGACAAGAAAGCTAGAGAGCAGGAGGTCATGGGAGGAGCGGGTGGTTTGGGTGATATTTGGAGACAAGATTGGTGATGTAATTTGAGGCAGAGAGATATAAATGGCTTTATGTCTCTATGCAGATCTGCACCATATTTTGTACTCCCAGTTTTAGTAAATTTAACCCCAGTGATAATACAATAAGTAGCATGCAGTCAAAAACGTCACAAACTTGATAACAGTGAAGAGATATATGATTGGCCACTATTTTCTACTAAAGATTGCAAATCAGCTTTGTTCATTACAATGCCTTTCCTTAAAATTCATTGTATTTGTATTTTTTTTTATACTTTGAATTGTTCACTCTCAATTATACAATACTTTTTACAAAGTCTACCTAGAGTAGACATAAAATAATGACATTTACTTTTCGAAAGCACTGTGGATCCTAGACAATTGTCATGTTTCTTCTTTAATAAAATACTTGTTTTCACCTTTTTTTCTCATCCTTTGTTGCACCTCTGGATCTCCTGCAGCCCTTTTCGGGCACATGCATGCCAGTGATTGTTGCATGGCATTTCTCAAGGTCAATTACCTTATGATAACAACAGTGGACCATTCCTGCATAGTGTGTATTGAAATGGCCATTTGTAGTCTCCATCAAAAGCCTGTGTGACAGGGAGCACAATTATAAGACGGGGCGTTGTCACCCGAACAAGGATCTTTTTTAGTAATGCAGGTAGAGATGAGCGAAGTATTCAAAAATTTCGATTCGGCTGATTTCGGCGAATTCGAGGAATTAAATTCGATTCGATGCGAATATATTCGCTGCGATTTTAACTTATAAAAGGGTGTTTCTAGGCTTCAGAGAGCCTTTATATTAGTGCAGAACACTGTACCTTTAATTTAAAATGCCCTTGGAGTCTGCTGGGGAAGAGAAATAATACTGTCAGTCAGTATGACATGCAGATGAGTGCCGTCGATCTTAGAATCACCGCACACTTCACTCATTTGGGCAGTCACGGGGCCAAAACCAGAGTGTGTGAGCCACAGTGCGGCGGTGGAGGGCAGAGCAGCAATGGGAGGCCATACAGCACCCTATGACAAAAATGGAACCCACCAGCAGTGTGAGGAGACCTGGAAAGTGGCACATGGCAGAGTGTGGCGATGGAGACAGCAGCAATGGGTAGGGGGCCGTACAGGGACCCATGACACACTCTGGACCTGTGGCAGCAGCATTAGGAGGTGGTACAGGGGCCCATGGCAGATTACGGGCCTGGGACAGCAGCAATGGGAGGCCGTAATCTGCCAGCACCCTATGACAAAATGGAACACACCAGCAGTGTGAAGGAGACCTGAAAGTGGCACATGGCAGAGTGTGGCGATGGAGACAGCAGCAATGGGAGGCCATACAGGGACCCATGAGAGACTCTGGACCTGGCAGCAGCATGAGGAGGGGGGTACAGGGGCCCATGGCAGATTACGGGCTGGCAGCAGCAAGGGGAGGCCCGTTAATCTGCCAGCACCCTAGTGACAAAAATGGAACCCACCAGTAGTGTGTGGAAGACCTGAAAAGTGGCACATGTTTGGGGGCATGATTCATGGGCGGATTTAGTCAGTTCAGTGTCAGGAACTGGTGGTTTGGGAAATCCAGGACTAATCCACGCCTGATTCATTTTCACAAACGTGAGTCTCTCCACACTTTGGGGTGGACCAGTCCGCTGTCCTTCCGCGGAGTTCCAATACCTCCTGCCGCACTAAACACGCGCTCCGATGCCACGCTACTGGCCCTGGGCATGACAGCCTTTGTCAAGGGCAAATTCAGCTAGTTGGGGCCAAAAGGTCAAGTTTTGTTGCCCAGTAGTCAAGGGGATTGTCTACCTCGGTTGGCAGGGGCTGTCCAAGTAGGCCCAAGCCTGTTGTTTGAGGTCCTTTATTTTGCTCAGTCTCATGATGCTGCTGCTGCTGCTGCGGCCAACAAGGTTAGTAGTTTCCTCACTGGTTATTATTCGCTGGGTGAAGAAAGCTACTCATCATCGATCTGCAGACTGAGGCAGACACGCTGGTCGGGGGGGGGCCATTTCTGCATCCTGCTCAATACCATCCCACCACCTCCTCTCCCTGCTGCCTTGGGCTGCGGAACGCGGAACGTCTACCGCACCTGACCAGCCATTGTTAACTGCATTTGTGGCGCACAGGGCCACAGTGGGGCGAACTGAGGATGGACGTTGGACCCCCCTGGAAAGGGGCAGAGACCAATGACTGACTATACATAGGTGGTTACCTTTCCGCTTTATAGGTTATCTTTGGCATTTTTGGCCTCCCTCTCCTAGCATGGGGGTGGTTGAACCTTCATAATGGCAACTCACAGCATTTTGGAGTAGTCGGTTAGCCCAATATTACGGGCCTGGCAGCGCAATGGGAGGCCCGTAAGCATGGACCCTAGCCAAAAAAATGTCATCCACTTGCTGTCTGAAAGTGGTGGCAGAGTGTGGCGATGGACCGACAGGCTGTCGCTACCGCAAGCAAGCTGGCAGCAGCATGAGGAGGCGGGTACAGGGCCCATTTTGTGCCAAAGGCATTGGGGAGGGAATCTCCCTGCCATCCATCTCCTCCCTATGCATAACACACCTGCCAGACGGTGCACATGGGTCTGGGTCCTCTGTTGGGAGGCTCCTCCTCTCCTCTGGGCTCTAGGAGGCGGTCACGGGGGGCCCATGCTCAGCAGCAATGGGAGGCCGTGAGTGGAAAAACCAACCCAAGTTTCAGGAGACCTCAATAGTGTGGGATGGAGACGCAGCAATGGGATGCCGTACAGGGTCCTGAGACCTGTGACCTATACATCCTCCTCTTCTTCGGGGCTCTGGCAGAGCAGCAATGGGAGGCCCGTCTGCCCCCACACACCAGGGGTCAGGACCTGGAAAGTGGGCACATGGCAGAGTGGGCGTTGAGACAGCTCTGTGGAGGCCGTACAGGGACGTCTGGAACCTGGCACACCATGAACAGGGGGCCTATGGCAGTTACGGGCTTGGTTAACAGCAGGCCCCCCGTTTGTTCCAGGTCGTGGCAACAGAGGAGCTGATGACGTACAGGGACATCATGAGATGTGGACCTGGTCTCTTGCCGCGGTTACAGGGGCCCATGTGCAGAATTAGGGGCCTGGCGGAGGCCTCTTATCTGCCAAAGGGCCCACCCAGCAGCTGTTGAGGAGTCCTGATAAGTGGCACTTGGCAGAGTGTGGCGGGAGGAGACAGCAGCAATGGGAGCCGTACAGGGACATAAGACAGTGGACCCTGGCAGCCAGATGTGGAGGACGGGGGTGTACGGTGGGGCCCCATGGCAGATTACGGCCTGGCGAGCAACAATGGGAGGCCAGTAATCTGCCAGCACCAGCAACCCTATGAACAAAAATTGGCAGTGTGAGGAGACCAGAAAGAGTGGCACATGGACAGAGTGTGGCGATGGAAGACAGCAGCAATGGGAGGCCGTACAGGGGAACCATGAGAGATGGACCTGGCAGCAGATGATGGAGGCTGGTACGGGGGCCTATGGCAGATTCGGGCCTGGCAGCAGCTATGGGAGGCCCGTAATTCTGCCAGCACCTATGTGGTACACTCCAGGCGTGTGGGAGCCTGGAAAAGTGGCACATGGCAGAGTGTCCGCGATGGGGTGGGAGGCCGGTACAGGGACCCATGAGACACTGTGGCAACGTGGCAGCAGCATGAGGAGTCGGTACGGGGGCCCATAGGCAGATTACGGGCTTGGCTAGCAGCAATGGGCAGGCCACGTAATCTGCCCCAGAACCGGGGTATGACAAAAAATGGAACACACCAGCAGTGTGAAGGAGACCTGAAAGTGGCACATGGCAGAGTGTGGCGATGGAGACAGCAGCACTATGGGAGGCAGTACAGGGACCCATGAGACACCCTGGGGACCTGGCAGCAGCATGAGGGAGGCGGTACGGGGGCCCAATGGCAGATTACGGGCCTGGCCAGCAGCAATTGGGAGGCCCGTAATCTGCCAGCACCCTATGACTAAAAAACTGGAACCCACCAGCAGTGGGGTGAGGGAGACCTGAAAGTGGGCACATGGCAGAGTGTGGCGATGGAGACAGCAGCAATGGGAGGCCGTACAGGGACCCATGAGACCACTCTGGACCTAGGGCCAGCAGCATGAGGAGGCGGTGGGGGTACTGGGGCCCATGGCAGAGTACGGGTCCTGGCAAGCAAGCAATGGGAGGCCCATAAATCTGCCAGCACCCTATGACAAAAAAAATGGCACAACACCAGCAGTGGATGAGGAGACCTGAAAGTGGCACATGGCAGGCGAGTGTGGCGATGGGAGACCTTCAGCAGCAATGGGAGGCCGTACAGGGACCCATGAGAGGACTCTGGACCTGGGCAGCTAGCATGAGGAGGTGGTACAGGGGGCCATCGGGGTGATTACCTGGGCCTGGGCAGCAGCAATGGGAGGCCCGTATAATCTGCCTAGCAACCACATGGACCAAAAAAATTGGAACCCTACCCTGCAGATGTGAGGGATACCTGAAAGTGGCACATGGCAGAGTTTGTGGCGATGGATGACTGCGCAATGGGAGGCCGTACAGGGACCATTGAGAGGGGACTCTAGGGACCCTGGCACCGGCATGCTGAGGAGGCCTTGGGTGGGAGTAACGGGGGCCCATGGCAGATTATGGGGCCTGGCAGCAGCAATGGGAGGCCCGTAATCTGCCAGGGACCTATGACAAAAAAATGGAAACAACACCAGCAGTGTGAGGAGACCTGAAAACGTGGCACACATGGGCAGAGTTGTGGCGTTGGAGACAGCAGCAATGGGAGGCCGTTTACATGGGACCCCAGAGACACTTTTGGACCTCCGGCAGCAGCATGAGGAGGCGGGGTACTGGGGGCCCATGGCAGATTACGGGCCTGGCACAGCAGCAATGGGAGGCCCGTAATCTGCCAGCACCCTATGACAAAAAATGGAACCACCCATGCAGTGTGAGGAGACCTGAAAGTGGCACATGCACGAGTGTGGCGAAGGAGACAGCAGCATTGGAGGCCGTACAGGGACCGTGAGAGACTTATGTGGATTGGGCAGCAGCATGAGGAGGCGGCGGGTACGGGGGGCCCATGGCAGATTACGGGCCTGGCCAGCAGCAATGGGAGGCCCCCGTTAATCTGCAGCACCTCGTATGACCAAAAATGGAACCCCACCGAGCAGTGTGAGGAGACAGCTGAAAGTGGCACATGGCAGAGTGTGGCGAGGGAGTCTCAGCCTCGCAATGGGTGGCCGTACAGGGACCCATGACAGACTCTGGACCTGGCAGCTGGCAAGGGCCCTAGACCAGAGGAGCGGCCTGTTATTTGTTAATTGGTCGCCCAGTTTAGTTTCCTTGGCAAAGTTTACGGGCCTGGCAGCAGGCAATGAGAAGGCTCCGAACATCTGCCAGCACCCTATGACAGGAAATGGGAAACTTAGGCCAACGGCAGTGTCGTGGTAGAGTACAGGGAGACCTGAAGAGTGGCACATGGAGTGGACCATGAGTGTGCGATGGCAGACAGCAGCATGGCAGGAGTGCCGTGTTACAGGAGACGAAAGTTGGCCTGATAGTTTAAGTATGATGTCTTGTATCCATGATTGGGATAGGCAGTAATCAGCATTGACTACTGGCCCATCATGGCAGGTTACGGGGCTGCATTCGGCAGACGTGGCGAAAGCTCCGTAATTGTGCCAGCATACAATCTGAATGGCCATGTACCAGCAGTGTTCAGCTGGTAATACCAGGAATACCTGACATGTATGATTTGGGCATGATTCATGGCGGATTTAGTCTAGATGTGGTCATGGAAACTGGTGCGTTTGAAACTCCAGACTATTTCCACTCCTGATTCATTTTCACAACACCTTGAGTCTCCTCACCACACTTTGGACGTGGACAGGTTGTAACGTGTCCCTCCGCGGATTTTACAATACCTCCTGCCAGCACTAAACACGCGCTCCTTGATGCCACGCTATCTGGCCGGGGCATGACAGCCCTTTCAAGGGCAAATTCAGCTACTAGTTGGGGCCACATTAGGTCAAGTCTTCGTTGCCCAGTAGTCAAGGGTGATTGTCTACCTCGGTTGGCAGGGTGCTGTCCAAAGTAGGCCCAAGCCTGTTGTTTGAGGTCCTGCTCCAGGTCCACCTGATGCTGCTGCTGCTGCTGCGGGTGCTGGTTAGTAGTTTCCTCACTGCGCTGGTGAAGAAAGCTACTCATCATCGACTGCAGACTGAGGCAGCCGCTGCTGCTGGTGGAGCTGCCACTGCTCCTACCACCCCACCCCTCCCCTGCTGCCATGGCAGCGGAACGCGAGCGCACAGGGCCCACAGTGTTCTGAGGATGGAACGTTGGCGCAGAAAGGCAGAGAGACCAAACTGACT